AAAACAAAGATGGGCAAGCAGAAGTCTTTGGCTGCCTCCTGTTTCCCCAGTGCACCATAATGGCTACCTACTAATACCTTCTTAAGCTTTCCAACCCTTTCTGAACTTTTAAAACCTTTTTGATTTTTCAATAACCCATGTTACAGTACAGATTCTTAAATGTTTTAGCAAAAAAGTTACCTTTTAAGTCTCTCTTTTTAAGTGAGACTTATTAAAAAAGCTCAGAATTGGTTTGTTCTTATTTACATCTTAGTATTTAATTTACAGCATATTTAATACTACTGCAAATTCAGAAGCAACATCAGTGTAAAATATCAGTGGGGAAAAAAAAAAAAAGGAGTCCAAGAAAATCAAGAGATATAGGAAATACAGTAAAACAAAGTGGATCTGAGATCAACAGTATTTCTTCCTATCTTTCATGAATCACATCAAATATCAATGATTTAACTGAACAATTAAAGACTAATGACATGACCATCACAAGAGAAATCTAACAAATGCTCTATAATTTTTATTTTATTATTATATTGGTTCTAGCATTGTTATCATTGCCACTTACATTTGAACTCCTTCTACATCTTCTTCTGACAAAGCAGTAATCTGGGAAAGAGAAAGAAATGTCCTACTAATAATCTTCTTTCCACCTATGGCATCCTGATCGCGGTCCTCTTCCTACACACAAATATGTATGTATGAATATAATTTTTAAAGATTTATTTTATTATGTCAGTAACTTATTTAGATAACTTTTTTTATTTTGAGGAAGTATGCAAGGAATTAATTCAGCAAATGCCAAAAATGTAACACAGCTATAACTACATGGCAGCAACACAATACTCCAACACATTTTCACTAGAGAAAAGCTAGGCAGATACATGGAAAATAATATTTTAATCCTAAATTCACTTGGGAACATAGTGACATATTATGTGCAGCACAAGATTAAATTAAACTTGCAAGTCAAAACAATAGAAATATAAAGGTGAAAAAAAAATCCATTAATCTAGATTTGAGCAACATGATACTAGATTGCACAGTAATTAAATTTTAAAATCAGTTTCTGCTTAAGATATTATGAGTACACATGCACATTACCATGCTATTTGTTCTCTACCCTCTACTTGATTGCATTTTCAAATTTAGTATCTATACTGATTTCTTCCCTAATGAAAAAAAGCCCATGGTGTTTGCTGCAACACAATGCTACACATACAAGGATCTGACACTACTGTTTCAGGGAAGGTCTGTATGTTTAATATAGAAGGCAGTTCCTTATAGGAAATACAGGGATGTACCTGCTATAGGGTACAGAGCATGAACCAACAATATAAAGGCCTTCCAAAAAACAGCAACATTTGAGGATATTTTATTTAGTGCATATCACTGACCAAAAACATTCAACCAGAGACTTCAGTAAGAAATCTATGAAATAAATAAAACAGTGGAAGAAACCTACAGTTTTACAATAGAATATGTAGGTGACAAAGTGAGATGTCAGAGCACATTATAAAATGTGAGATGAGCCAGACACTTTACAGAGGAGCATGGCAGGGGAACAAGGGACAACGGCCACAAAATAAAATAGAATATTTGAGTTGGAAGGGACCTACTATACATTAGCATGGGACAGCATAAGGAAAAACATTTCACTATGAAGATAATTAAGCATTAGACCAGGTTACCCAGAAAGGTGAAGTAGTCTCCATCCTTGCAGGATTTCAAGGCCAAACTGGACAAAGGTCTGGTCTGTATTCAGTGCGGGCCCAGCTCTGAGCAGGCAGCAGCTGAACCAGCTCCTGCCCCAGAGAACCCTTCCAGCCTCATGGCTGAGTCTAATTGGCCTGACACAAAAAAGTCTGTGTAAGACCTGATAATTTACTTGTAGCAGGTACACTTCTACATCTGTGGGACTTGGGCTTTACAGAAGTGCAGCAAGGCAAAGCTTGCAGAATAATGTTTCTAGCTCACCTAGAGAGAGAGGAGTTGAAGATTTCCTAACATGAGCTGATATTTGAGCCTGAACAGCATTGTTCTGGGCTAATAATCAGCTAACTCTAGCACTGGTCAAGGAGAGCCCCCAAATAAAGCTACACTACTCCCCCTGCTGCTGCCGAGCTGGAAGATGTACTTAAAACTCTGGGACCAGCTGAATTACAACATTCAAGAATGATGAAACAAGACAGCGAGCAACAAAGAACATTCAGTGGACAGAGTAATTTTTTTCCTCTAATTAAGTACTAGAGTACTTTCACATGTACTTTAATATGAAAAATTACTGTTCCCAACTGTAAAGAATTGTCTCAGATACAATGTCTCATCAGAACAACAGGAATGAGGTAAACGAAGGCTTCCTTCACATAGTTAGGAGCATGACATCAGTTTGCTTTGTTTTTATTAGCAATAATTCATGCAGTGTAAAAAGAAGTACTCCTACAGTCAGCAATGTTGATATAATTGAAGCTGCATGTCCCAGTTAGGAAAAAAAAAATAGTTCAACCTGCTAATATTATACAACTATTGAAAGATATTTTTGAACAATTAGAAAAAAATATGAGTGCTTTCCTGAAGTGACCAGTGGTGTTAGAAACTTGTTGAATAAGAGATTCTTTAGAAGCACTGAGAGCTGAATTAAAAGAATAACTGATATTGACATTTCGGAAACTGAATTAATGCCAGTTCGTCTCT